GAACATACTGCAGTAACATAGTCAACAATTCAGCCATAGATCAAGTATTTGAATGAGTAAGAAATAATCGGAATTCTTATTTGCCTCCCCAATAAGGTTGTATGGGAACAAATCTGTGGTTTCTAAGGGGACGATCTGGGAGCTTAACACTGATTAAATGTATAAGAAATGGAAATTGAGTAATAAAAGGGAGGGAGTAGGAAACGGAGGGTAGCAATGTTAATGATGCTCACGCAGTCTGATCAGAAGACTTCCAAATTCTTTGTGTCCTGTGGTGAACACAGGACATGTGGATATAAATGGGGTTTTTAAAAGTTAAGGAGGGGAATACAAAAGGGAGCATGGTGGGCTTAGGCGGAATCTGCAGGCAGAGAGCACTTGCTTCTCTTCTCTAGGTGCTTTTAAAACTTACACTAATCTATGGGAAGGAAGAAACCAGGTGATTTCCATCCAATAATCAATGAGTAGGGAAGGGTATAGATGGTTCCTAGCCAGGTAAGGGCAGTCCGTGAGCCAAAGCATAGCTAATCTGAGAGGTAATATTTTTCTATGAGTCCTGAACTTTCCCTAATTTTAGCCTGTCTCAGCAGGAAGAAAGGGAGAGGTGGACGTAGGTATAGGAAATAATAGAATAGGAGAGCACTGTATAATTTTATTAGAGAAATATGGGATTGATTTGAGAAACAGAAGAGAAAAAAAGAAAAATAAATGATACATAAATTTAAAAAAAACTGACAAGAAAATGAACTTTTAAAAGAAAACAAAATGTTTTAAAAGTCTATGTTTCTCACTAAGAGAAATATTGATATGGCTGAACTTCATCCACGTGTCCAGCATTCTCCTTCAGTCTGTGGTCCACAGAGATCTATCTATGTGCTCCAGATGTGGTCTGTGCTATCCTTTGGATAGTGACTTGCCCTCTCTAGTCTCTCTTGCCATGGTTATTATGGGAACAGCTTTAGAGCAGCAGGATTGCAACTCTAGAGGTTTCTGGCCTACCAGGCCAGTTTTTCCTGAAAAGGATTTTTACAACCCTAGATGCTCCTAGGTGTGGGTTCACCTGGCTTCCATAGGTGGTAAGGGAGAAAGTATGAAAATTCCTGATGTGTTGCCTTTAGGTGGGGCATGACTGTCCTCCATGAGTGGGTGAATGGGTTTGCTCTCAACAGGGAGGCAGTTGGGACCATGTGGGTGATACATTCCAGGCCAATTCTCTTAACAAAGCACTTTGTCATTAGAGTTGTTTGGGGACTGTATAGCCTCTTTAGGGGTATGGGACTTCTTGTTGAATTGCCAAGAGATATGAGCAGTCAGGGCTGTTTTCCACGTAGAAAGTTGGGGGAGTAGCACCCAGAGGGTAGCAGCTCAGAACATAAGAGTGGTACATGCCATCTAAGATTTGCTCTGCCTTCTATTCCCAGTTTCATGGAGCACACAGCTCTCATGTAAATCGGTGTCTGTAAAGAATCTAAATCCCTACCAGCTTTCTCTGTCTACACTGACTCACAATTGGTCTCTGTCTCACCAGACCCTCATGAGAATTAAGACTTGAGGGAGTTTTTTAGAAGTTGATAATGCAGGCTTCCCTCCTCCCCCTTTGCTTTACTTTCCCTCCCCCTTCCTACCCGAGGAGGATTGGATCCAACTTGGGACTTTACGCTGTTTTTCTGTGATACATATTACTCTTCTTGCTTTTATGGTGTCCTACCACCTCTTTCATTTGTTCCGAAGCTCTTCCTCCCTTTCTGTCTTAAGAATATAGTCTCTCTTTAGTTTTGTGACTTTTCTCATTCACGGAGTCAAAACAGTGGATGCTTCAAATCTACCCATTTACCTTTAATCCAATGGAATGTTACTTAAACAGGAACTTAAAGGAACAAAGTGATGCAACATTGATGAACCTCAAAAACATCACACTTAAATGAAAGAAGCCAAACACAAAAGACCACATATTATATATTCCGTTTATAAGAAGTTCTCAGAATAAAGAATTTTATAGAGAAAGAATGAAGACTGAGGATTGATTGGAGAGAAGAAGAGATGGATGGTAACCCCTTTAATTGAAATAGGACTCATTTTGGAGCCCTATAGAGTTGGTGGTTGCATGACATTACAAATGTACTAGATGCCATTGGATTTGTTCACTTTAAAGTGATAATTTCATATTATGTGAATTTCACCTTAAATAGGCATACACTGACACATGGTTACCCTGGCAAATAGCTACAATATGCTTCGGGCACAAATACGGGAAGTATTTTACTGCAATGGCATTGCAGAGTTCTTCCTCTTTGAGCTCCATCTTCCCTTTCTATCAGTAAGCTCTGGTGCATGAACTAATTTAGACCTGAAAACTAAGAGACTACAGTTTTCTACTGTGGCCGGCATTAGTCTTTTCTCTTTGAAAACAAGTCAAGGAACAACTTAGTCTGTTGTCTGAGTACCTTGCCACTAGAACCTGCCACTTTTCTCCTTCTGTGTCTCTATTTCTATCTGTTTTATTCCACTTAATTGAGACTTAGGGAATATAGCTCAGTGACATGATAGAATGCTTGTCTAGTACAGATGAATCCCTGGGTTCCATCAGCACAATACGCGCACGCGCGCACACACACACACACGCATGCACACACACACACACACTCATGCACACAGTACCACCTAATTGAGACTTAAACATGGTCAAATATTTTTGCACCTTATTGTCATCTCTCTTTTCCCCTCCTCACAACTATTGAAAGACTTGTCCACAGCTTTTCTCAACTTCATCCCCCTCTCACTTTGCAATCATTATTATTCCAGTTTTTGCCTTTACTCTCTACTCCACATTTTTGATCAGATCACCTCCAAGTGTATTAAAGCCAATAACCGTTCTCAGTTCTTGTTATATTTAACCTTTCTTGAAGCATAAGGCATTGTTTTTTGAAGCAATCTTCCCTGACTTTCCCAGACTCTATAGAGGTTTTTCTCCTCTCTCTGATTGTTCCTCTCAGACTCCTTCACAGGAGTCAGTTTCATTCATAGGCCTTCTCTTATAGTACAAACTTCTTAAGGTACTGTAATCAGCTCCTCTGGCTATATGCTGACATTGTCATTATCTTACTCTGTAGTATTCTTCTCTTGCATCTCAATTTAATAATCTAGATTTCTACAATACATCTTTATTTGAATTGCCCATAGATACTCTAAATTCTACATATTTCCTGAACTAAATTATCTTTCCATAACCCCCTATTTCTTTGTTCCCTAAGAGGATGGTACCACCATCCAGCCATTTTCCCTAGCCAGAAGCCAAGGTACCATTCTTAACTGTTTATTCTACCGCATTCTTCACATCCAATCGAATTGTTAGGTCCTGCTGACTCCGTATCTTAAATAGCTCCAAAAGCCATTCATTCCTTCTATCTCCTTTGTCATTTCCAAGTGCAGGCCCATGTTTCTAATTTGGATTGCCATGAAATTGTTTCTTTTGTAGTCTTTTGTATTTTGTTTCTTATGTTTAAAATTTTTATCCTAATTGCTGGGGGTATGGCTTAAATAGTAAAATGCCAGCCACAGTAAGCACAAGGCCCTGAGGTTCAAACCACATTACAACAACAACAACAAAAACAAATATAGATATAGATATAGATATAAAGTTTTCCTACAGCTCAAAAAATTAAACACAAAAGAACAAATACTCCTATTAATAAATGGGCACATGAATTAAACAGTTCTCCTCAAAAAGTATAGTTGACAAATACATGAAGAAATGTTTGGCATCCTTAGTCATAAAGAAATACAAATCAGTACAGCACTGAGATTCCATCTCATCACAGTTAGAATGGCTATCAAGAAAACAAACAGCAACAAATGCTGTGAGGATGCAGGGTGCAGCAAAAGGAACCCTTTCATAAGCTGTTGGTGGGAATGTGGAGCCACTATACAAATCAGTGTGGGGTTCCTTGAAAAACTAAAATAGGAGTACCATATGTCCTGTTATACTTGTCCTGGGTGTATATCCACCGTTCCTAGTTAGGTTCCTCCTTTCATAGCCTTTTACTTTTTATGACAACAAGATCAGAATTTTCTCTCTTACAAAAAATTTAAAGTTTTCCTTTGTGGTTCATATTCTTCCCTTGTACTACAAAATCCAGGACTCTATTTAAATTTGCAGAAAGAAAACCTCACTTACAAGAATTATGAAAATGGCCTTATAAGTTTAGGTCATTTTTTTGGCAATAAATACATTTGAAATTCAGAAAGAGAAATTCAGCTGACTACAAAAACTCTACTAGGGTGATACCTTTTATTTTATAATTATTGCTAAAGATCTTATGATCTAGATTTTAATATTTTAATACTTTAATTTCCAAGGTTGATGAAAATGTTCCTATTTGTGAATCATTATTGGTAAGACTAGATACAATTCTACAAGACCTTTCAGGTTTTTTTTTATTTAATTAAAACCATTATTCTGTAGCAGCTACTTAGAAGTGTTGTATAACACTTAGAACTACAGATATGGGCTGTGCAAGAAGGGCCCATGTTACTTATTTGGGCAGGATCTTTCTACTATATTAATTTCTACTTAGATAAAACTTACTTTATTCTAATTCTTTATTACATATAAAAAGCAAAGGAATAAACTTAAATGAAGGAAAGAAAAGGATGAAGAGAATATAGAGGTTGGGGGGGCCTCTGGGGCTCTCTAGCAACCCATGAAAATTATGTAAATATCCTTTTGATGAAATTCTAAAATATTTAGCACTGATAGGCCCTTGCTCTAGGACCTTTAACACTGATATGAATTTGCTTAATTTATTCAAATAAAGTTGTTAAATGTATGTGCAGTGATTGTTATTGTTGTTTCAGTTATTTAAACTTCTAGAGGAAAAATGGTCATCAATAACTGTTTAAATATTACTAATGTTATCTAGTCATGAATTTCAATAGCTATAAACAGATTAATTTTAACTATAGATTTTTTAAAATTCACTTTACTCTTTTTTTTCCCCTAGCTACATTGACAAGCTATTCTGAAAATGTGGAACGCACAAAATATGTTGGAGAAAGCAGTAAAGAATTAGGATCTGGAGGAAACCTAAAACCTTGGCAGTCTCAAAAATCCAACATGGACTCCTGTCTATATCGAGTAGATGAAAACATGACTGCTTCCACCTATAGTCTGAATAAGATCCCAGAGAGGAATTTGGAAACAGTTTTATCTCAATCAGTGCAATCTATTCCTTTGTATCTCATGCCACGACCAAATTCAGTAGCAGGTAAGGTTTTTTGTTTTTTAATTTTTTTTAACTATTTAACTGGGGTGTATATTGAAATGAAAATAAATCCTGCTATAACAGTATTTAGATTTTATATTCATCTTTAAGTCATTCTTTTATGTATTTAGATTTTATATTCATCTTTAAGTCATTATATGTTCTAGTAATATACATACAGATGCTTTTTTGAACCTGGGGAAGGTTCGTCTTCCTCAAGTGATTACTTAGTTCTGTTCCCGTAATATACAAAAGCATACATAAAGTGAGAAACAGAACCTATAAAGTATATCATCAAACTAATAAAAGGTTTTTTTCCACACATCAGAAGTGTTTGAAAGAATATGAGGTTTTACTTTCTTTAGAACTTTCATTTTAGAAAATTACTAAATTGCAACTTTGTATTACTAAATACAAATTGCATTATTCATTGCAATATGTATTATCAGAAATCACGGTAGTTTGAAGGCATAGCATACAAGCAAGAATTCTGCTTCCTCTTTGTTTCAGTTGAGTATTTTCACAAAACTGACCATCTTATCCTAGAAGAATCTCTAAGTGCCTGTATTTCCAAAGAAGAACTCAAACTTGGTTTGCTACTTGTAGTAGGAATGATACTGAAGTAGCTGGAATATGAAGCCATTATTATTTAGCAGCTACTCAAAAGTGATGTCAATACCTATTTAATAATTCAAGCCAGGCTGAGCTTTTGCAGAAATAGACACTCTGACATTTTCAAAAGGTATTATCATCTGGACTTCGTCCCGCATACAGAATAAAAGTTAGGTTTATCTTTCCAACTTTACTGATGAATGCCTACATAGATTCATCTCACTGATGGAGAATAATAAAATATTTATTATAGTCAAGGGCTTTTATTTCCCAGATATAATTATTTACAGATAATAGTATGACGCTTCTTACTATTTCCCTTTCCTACCTATTCTAAATGATTATGTTTTATCCTTAGCTCTGGGAAGCCATCATCTACTATCAGGTGTGATTATAAGAGAATGGCTCATTTGGAAAATCAGTAACTATAGATTATCATATAATTATTCACTTTTATTTGGTGACACCAAATTTTCTCTACTAGATCTCTCTAAATATGTTGATTCCCAACTAACATTAACATGTTATATTAGAATCCTGGAATGCTGTATCTTATAAAAAGTGCCAGGCAAATTAAATCTTTCCAGAAGGGAAACATTAAATCCTTGCTTATATTATAAATGGAGAATTATATCTACTCACCTTAGTAGTATTTTCCAGTTTACTTCCTAACTAAACTGCAATGATTTCTAAGAAAATACTGGTTCTATTATTTGATAATGTCATTGAGCACTTTGTAGGAGACAGATAGAAGCTTTATTTCAAGAAATTGAGCTATGTAGTCAGTCTCAGTGAACTATGTTAATTCGGGGCTGTGAGTTTCAATTACTGCTTAACATTTGTTAACATTCTGTACTACATTATATATATTCCTTAGAACCACTTTTTAGTGTACTAATTAAGGACCTTCTCATTTGGTTAAAAACTATTCAGTCCTTCCTCAGGCTTCTTTTAGCCCAGGCAAACCCCATAACTATTCTGACTTTGTATTAGTCATGCTCTCCCTCTCTTGCATTATCTTATGCTTTTGGGGCAATACCAGACTGAGAGGCCTATGGAAAGAAAGAATGAAATGAATCTTAATGGATTTACTATTTTATTCTCAAAAACCCAACAGGACTGCCTATAACTAACCACCAGTTGGTAATGAGTCGTGAAGCACCTATCAAATCATCTAATGGCTGGCCATCTTTCCAAGCTGAACTCAAATCTCCCTCTTTCATGAAGGTTTCCCCAGTCATTATCCCCTTACTCTCTCACTTATAAGCAATTGATTTGTCCTCTAAACTCTAGAAATTTTATTCTCTAAAAGAGTAGTCAGGAAACCAACCAAATTTGACCCACCCCATTTTTGTAAACAAAATTGTATTACAGCACAGCCACACTCATTTGTTTACTTAAATGGCTGCCTTTGCACTACCACAATAGAGTTCAGTAGTTGCAACAAAGCCTAAATTATTTACTGTCTTGGTCTTTATAGCAAAAGGGCAACCCTAGTCTCCATTCTAAAATCTTATCCTGGTACTAATTTGCTTGGCCCAAGTTACCCCTCAGCTGTACATCTCAGCTGTGTATCTTTTAGACAGTGTAGCTGTGCTACAATAATGAATAATGAATGAATAGGAAGAGAAACTTTTATTAGATTTTATGCAAATATTTTATGATGTATTTGACATGATTTGGTGAATTGCATGGTGAATCAAAAACTAAAATTTTGTAAATTTCTTAGTAATTCCACAAGAGACATTGCTATTTAGCCATACTGATATTAGATAACAAGGATTCTAGAAGGATTTGAAAGAGATAAAGTCTGGAGCCCATGTTGTTTCCAGACCCTGTAATTCTCATTATGGCAGTAGAGGAGTTTCTTGATGTATCTGTTCTAACCTTCTCTTGTCCTCTTTTTAGTTTACTGAAGAGATTATAAAATACTTTTCCCTTCTTGAGCAGAAATAATCTGTAAGCAGTTTATTATCTATTCTATAAAAATGTAAAACCCAAACCTTAGAGTTTATAAAATGTCAAGGACTCGTATACTATTTAGCCAGTTATGCTTCTCCTCTCACTTTCTCCAAAACTTTCAAATACTAAAAGTTTATATACAACAGCTGTCAAAAGTATCAGTAATTTACCAATTTTTTCTTTAATCTTTAATAAATATTAAGTAAATTGTGCAATTCTATTACAGTGAATACAACCCCAGATTCTTTACCAGGTATTTTAATTACCATGTAAAGTTATATATCATTTGACATGTTTTAAAAAAAAAAAACTTTTCAGAATAACATTATTTTCAGGCAAAGAGCACATTCTTGGGTTGTCAGATTTTAGTTTCTTAGAATTTTATCTTGTAAAAACTGACATTCTACTTAGTTAATAAAATTTTTTAAGTTGTGCTCAACCTTAAAGAACTTGTCATCCAGTTTGTGAGTTTTTCAGGATTCTAAACTAGTCTCATGTATTTTTCATTTAGCAACTTTACTACTTATATGCATCAGCGTAATTGTGGCTGAATTGTAGATCAGTAACTTTTTCCATATCTGTTGAAGCAGATACTAACAAATATTGATGTGAAGTTTAGGGAAAATTACATGAGGACATTCTAATTGACATGCATTGTTATTTGTAATATACTCAGCTGCAATGAAATAAATGCTGTAATATTGTAATTCATAAAGTAGTATAGGAACACACAGGAAAGAAGCATTAAAGGGAGAGAAAGAAGTAGACAGGAATAGAAAACATTGTAGAAAAGTACAATTAAGAAATGCACAGGAAGACAGACAGGAAAGAGGAAGGCACCAAGAAGTGAAAGACCATTTATTTCTGCATGACTAGAACTTGGAGTACATGGAAGGAATGACAGAAAATGATGTTGAAAGACAGTACCAAGGATCTTATATACTTTGATGATAAGTATCTTGTTCATAGTGAAGAATTCTTTAAAGAATTGAGCAGTATTATCAAATATATAACTATATATGTTCATCTATATGAACAGATTAAAGGAGGAAAACCTGTAGTTACAAAGAATAGTAAGAAGCTTCTGCTGTTTTGCAAAATTACAGATAATGAACTGTCTGGTTGAAAGCTATGTTAATATGAGTGAAGAGAGTGATTAAGAGATTTTTCTATCTTAAAAAAATAACATTTACTAGATTTTTTTAAATACAGAAAGATACAAAGACGAAAACAAAGTAAAAAATGAGCCTAGCCTCCTTGCCCAATGGTCCCTGCTAATGTTCTAGAAAATAAAGATTCATATACAGTACATAGTATATACAAAATCAGATAAAAATTCAAATTCAAACCAAACATGTATAAGAATGCAAATAAATAAGGAAAAGTATATGCAGTTCTATTCTCTGTCTACTACCTCCTTCCAAAGATTAATATTTCTTACAATTTTGTTAGGGTTGGTAGAGTGGCTCAAGTGGTAAGAGCATCTGCCTAGCAAGCTTGAGGCCCTGAGTTCAGACCCCAGTGCCACCAAAAAGAAAAAAGAGTTTTTAAAATACGTACATATTTATATAGTATACAAATAATATAGAATATATAATGATATATACCTACATTTTATTATACTATATGTAAGAGATATGTGAGATCAAAAACAAATAGGATTTATGCATCTGAAGTAAAAGCATATGTTCCTGCAGAGATGTACAGAAATGAACACAGCAGCTTTATCTGTAATAGCCAAAAACTAATGAATGGTGGTATCGTATATGAGTGTGTAGGTAAGAATTTATCTATACAGTTTATATGCTTTTGTGTGTAAATTGCACCATGATTTTAAAAATAGATAAAAAATACTTAGGTTTCCTGTCTTTCCAGAGGATTTCTTACTATCTCTGGTTTAGAAATTAGCAGTCCTTGGCTGGAGGCATGGCTCAAGTGCTACAGTGCTTGCCTAGCAAACCCAAGGCCCTGAGTTCAAACACCCCCAAAAAAGAAAGAAAAACAAAGAAATTAACAGTCTTAGAAAACATATAAGATCTTTGTCTGAATATCTGTTTTCAGTATTGCTTAAAAATAGCCTAATAACTGTAGCAAAGGAATAATTTATTTAAAGTGTTCAATTTTATTGAGAGCATATACCTAGGATCAGTACCTGAACAAGCCAGAAATGATTATTATTGCTATCTTACATTCAGTGATAGCCTAGCTAAATTCCTAAAGCAGTAGTCTATATGTTTTTTTTAAACTTTTTATATTTTATTGATTGACTGTACTAAAGATTGAACTCATGGCCTCACTTTAATCCTTTAGAAAAAAACCCTATTATATTGAGCTACATTTTACATATCATAAATTCACCCATTTCAAGTACACAATTCAATCATGTTTAGTAAAGTTACCAAGTTATATAACCTTCATGATAAATCAGT